ATGCAGGCTTACAACGTTAAAACTTGGGTTTCGATACCTGCGATGGGCAGAGCACATATATCCCATTGTGTAGCTTTGCGCTTAACAACAACCAACAGCCAACTCTAAACATATATTATAGTTATAAAATATAGATAAGAAAGACGAAAATGGGGCATATTTGAGTATATCATATTTAGATATATATTTCAATATATTATATAAAATTTAAGTATATATATATATATATATATATATTTTAATTGTTGTTTCACCCAAAATAACTGAAATAATATTGTGTTTTAAACAAGCACTTTTGAATATAAATAATATGTAATAAAACCTAACACTAAAGTTAGGTTTCACTGTCATTTTCTCTTAGACGTACCTACTCAGGATAGTAGTTATAAAGAGACAGATGAAAAAGAACATAACCCTCAAGTCTCCGCTTCTCTGACTTCACAAGGTATTTTAGTCTAAGATCTAGCAAGGCGATTAGATAGGTTCATTACATTCTTTAGTTTGATGTATTCTTAGAACCGAAAAAGGATTTATATCATTTAAAAATTAACTCTACCTTTCTTTTCTTGCATAGGGCAGTGAAAATGTTGCATCTTGTTTCGTAACCCTTTTATTTCGCAAATAATATGGTGGACATAGTGCGTTTGAAATACTATAATACATCATTCTTCTCGGAAAAATCCTAAGGAGCCAAATAAAGAATGTGGTGTTAAAAGGTTCCATAAGTCTAATACTATTGCCTTATGTCAAATATATTTTATTATAATAATTATTTTCCACCTTAAAGTTGGCGTTCACATAATAAAAAATGTTATTCTAAGAAATAGATTAAATAAATAGCTTTCTGACCGCTATTATGTTTGTTGTGTCTCAGCCGGCCTAATGAGCTCTGGTCTTGAACTAAACGCGTCGTTGGCAATGGATATGGCAAGCATAGTGCGATTAAAATAATATTATACACTTTTCTTCTCAGAAAAATCTTAAGGGAAATAATAAATAGTTTAATGTTAGAAATACAATAAGCCTAATACTATTGTCTTATAACAAATATAATTCAACATTTATACAATAAGCCTAATACTATTGTCTTATAACAAATATAATTCAACATTTACATAAGACAATATAATTTTGATAGATGGTATCACTATAGTAATTATTAGTAAGAAACACCGAGTGAAAGTAAATAAGAGTCTATAATAATATGTCAACTACGTTATATCTGCTATATCCAGTGCCGACGAAGTCTGATGCCCAACACGAAAACTCAATACACCGGCTGAGAAATTAGTGGACATATTAGTGGTTGAGATGTTATTTATATTAGCAAATCGCTTGACAACAGATGAATTAAATTAGCGAAATGTAATATCACAGCAAATCATATATTATTAATTATTATTATTATACTGAATCAACCTGCTCATTGATCAAACGAACTCACGAACCAGCAAGCTAGTCTTCTTGATTCCTGGTTCGTCGGGCCAGATGAGATACAATAGAAACGTATTAGAGATTGAGACACTATTTGTACTAACGTTATGAAGAATGTACAAATACAGTTTTCAACATTTGTAATAAAAGATTTAGGCAGTTATGTACTTGCATGAGGCCTATCATCGTCTGATGGTTAAAGCATTGGACTCGCGGGATCGAAACCTATCACCGAACATGATCAACTTTCAGCCGTGGAAAGGCTATAATGTGATCGTCAATCCCACTATTCATTGGTAAAAAGTAGCCCAATAGTTGGCGGTGGGTGGTGTTAACTAGCTACCTTCCTTCTAGTCTGTCACTTCAAAATTATGGACGGCTAGCGCAGATAGCCGTCGAGTAGCTTTGCACGAAATTCAATAAAACAAACAAACAATTGTATTTGTATAGTCGCACCAACTTTATAAATCTACTTCAGGAGAATGTTTTGGTGTAATGAATTGTTATTTGTACAATGGTGGAAGAAATCAATCTAACTACAAACCAGCTTCGGTTACACCTAAGAACAATATAAAAATAAAATGGATGATTCTACTAATATTTCAGCTCCCACACTCCGAACCACCCGCCACGGGTATCGAAACCCGGATTCTAGTGTTGTAAGTCCGCAGACATACCACTGTGCCACTGGGGGGGGGCATTGTTATAAGAAGACGACTAAAACTGTTGAGCTATTCTTAATACAAAGTAAAGAATTGTAATAATTAAAGTTATCCATTTGTACAAAATGGATCACAACTGAAATTTTGACTGTAAAAGTGTCTTCTTTTACTTGATGACACTAGGCCAAAAAATAAAATTATGATTTACTTCATTAAGCAACGGTCAGCGCTACCTATAAGAACTGCCCTACATTTTGAATTGATAGACCAGAAGAAAGAAAACTTGTTAGACATATTTTACTCTCATTTTACTTATTGAACTAAAAACAATTCAACGCTGCCCTGATAATCGGATTGAATGATAACATAACATAATGTTTAGAGATAACAAGGAACCTATTGGTCTATCTCGGCTGTCCCATCCTCTAAACAAACTAAAACTATTAATAAATAAATAAATTAAAAAACACTTAAAACTGTCCTTTATCAATCATATACTTATCAAGCTTTTTATTAAAATCAAATCTACTACCTCCACAACATCCAAAGGCAACCTCTTCCAGAGGCCATCCACCCTGTTAGAAAAATTAAACTGTCTTAGCTGAAGACGATTCGTACCTTACAAAAAGTTATATGTGTGTCCCCTAGTCCTATTATTCTCGCCGTTAAATATGACAAAAAAAAAAAACGATACATTAACACCATCAATTCCCTTTACAGTCTTAAGTATTGTTCTAAATTTAAACGTAAACTCTTGGAATTTTTTAACATGTAGATGAAAATACTTGACAGTAAGCTTATTTTTATTACATCTTATGACACTTCCTAAAATAGTTCAACAAACTTTCAGGCGTATTCGTGACTTTCAATAATATTTGTACGGTTGACATAAACAGATGTACGTAAATATGTAAACTTTCTTCATTATTTTAGAGTCTTTTCCTGAAGCCCTTCTGCAAGAAACAGAAGCAAGACGAAGGGTCCAAAAAGAATACGACAGAATGAGAGGTATCACAATTCCTATATAACTGGATCACTTGTGCTGTTTACAAGTATCATAATTTGTATATAACTGGATCACTTGTGTTGTTTACAAATATCATAATTCGTACATAACTGAATCACTTATGTTGTTTACAAGTATCATAATTCGTATATAACTGGATCACTTATGTTGTTTACAGGCAACTCGTTATATAATACTTATTCAAAATTACGAAGCTGATAAATCACTGAAACAGAAAACATTTGAATTAGAAATCTTTGGAAGTATTCTGTAGGAATATGTTAGACATCGACCTATCTAAAGACATACTAATTTCAACATCTAGCAAAAAGAAGATTTTACACAATTAATTTATATTTTTCAAACCTCAATGATAAGATCTAAAACTCAATAGATCATAATAGAACATAAAAAATCAGGATGAAACTTGTCATTTCTTGTAGATAAGACATATATGTATGCAACTATTTGTGGGAACGTTGTTTGTGTACATGAAACATAAAAGCAATGGAAATGTGACTTCTAGTTACGTATATCCCTCACATCCTCACCTTCTTATTTGTAACCCTAATTGTATACTAGTTGACGTACCTGTTAAACTTAAGAAGAAGACACAGGAACCCTAGGCTAACACAATCGGTCTAGCAGTTTGTCAGTTATAGATGGACATACACATAGAGATCTTTGTCAAATCATGGTTTAGATATATGTGCATCAATTATTTAAAAATTATCTCTATTAGATATACAGGACTGTTTCATTTAAATTTAATACGAAAATTATTATTTAGATAGTTATAAAGCGCAAGTGTTAAAGTAAGTTATTTTTAGAACGGTACCTAACTGTTTACGAATCATTGATTGTGTAGTTTGATTGGTGTGAATTGACATCATCTAACTCGAACCTTCTGAATTATTCTCATTGTTTTAAGTGAGTATTGTTACATCATAACGTATCGTCGTTTGTAGAAAGTTCTAGGCCTCAGTCAGGCAATATACATAGGTAATCAAGTTAATGCAGTAAAAAAAGTTAAGTTAGTGAAAGTTAAATGAAGTTAAGTTGTGTCAGTTTAGTCATAACGGCCAATTTTTAAAGTAAGTTTCACAGCTTGACTGTAATAACAGGGTAGAGGAGAATAAGTTGTCTCGTGAAAGTGTTCTAAAGTAATTGAACCAGTCTGTGTGCACTTTTACGAAAAAGATACAATAATTTATAGCTCTGGATACAATTGTGATAACCAGTAGTGTAACACATTTTTGTACATATGTTTTACTTGTTTGGAATATATTATTTTAAAACAAGTGGATTGCGTGCTGTCCGTTTATTGCTGAAATTTATCGCCAACAAGTCATAGACATCTTCTGTAAAGAATCGCGGCCCTATAAAAACCTGACGATTTCAAACCAGAAACATATTTTATGTTTACTTCAATTACGATTGATAGTTCTTATTATGGAAGTTCCATGTAGTAATAACTTTCTTTTGGAATTTTTCTCATTAGTTTCATAGCGAGATTATTAATTTTGTTCCAACTTAGTATTGTTCATATTTAATGGACGTATTCCTTAGTAAAAACTTAAGAACTATATTTTTAAGAGAAATATATGATTATTTTATCAACACCAGCCAAAATTTCTTACCAACTCTATACATCACGTGATTTATTTGAACGTAATAAGAAGCAGTAAATATTCATTCCTCCAAGTGAAAATTTGTGGCGTTATTTGAAAACTAATGAATGCAATTAGTTGTTGTATGTATATATATGTGATAAATCATGTTAACCAGAAAACCATTAACTTAGTTTTATTCATTGTTTCTTTTTCGCTGTTAGAAACCTTTCAAGAACAAGTTCGAAAGGAAATGACATACAGAGAAGAACTCGCCAAGCAGCTTCAGTTAGTCAGAGGTAAATTTCACTAATCCCAAAAGCACTTCTTTTAAAATCCCCCGGTGGTTCAGCGGTAAGTTTCATTATCCTCAAAAGCACTCTCTTTAAATCCTCCAGTGAATCAGCGGTAAGTTTCACTATCCTCAAAAGCACTCTCTTTAAATCCCCCGGTGAATCAGCGGTAAATTTCATTATATATAGAAGCACTCTCTTTAAATCCCCCGGTGAATCAGCGGTAAGTTTCACTATCCTCAAAAAGCACTCCCTTAAAATCCTCTCTGGGTCAGCGGTAAATTTACAGAACTACAATATTTTTCTTAAGTTGTCGGTGATTTTCGTAATAAAAAAAAAGTTAACTTCCGACCAGTGTAAGTTACCTACTTAGACTGAAATTTATTTTAAAAATTAGCCCGGTAATGAGTATAGCTAATTAGATATAATGCCCTTGCTTTCATACTTATAATGATTAGATATCATTACGATATTTTCGGTCGTAAGCCCAATTTTTAGTATAAACCAGGAACAACTACTATTATTATTGAATTAAGTTTGAAGAGTACGAGTCTTGATTATTTTCAGAATTATTCTTATTGATGTTAGTAACAATGTTCCCTTTTATTGTGACTGTTGCCTGCCCCCTCAGTGGTACAGTATAACGCTAAAATTCGGGTGTTGATACACGTGGTAAGCACAAGACAGATTGTCCATTGTGTAAGTTTGTGCTTAACTACGAACAAACACATCTGCTTGTGATATCTCTCTCAACCACAAGTATAGTGATTTTAATTATATAATTATTTTTATGCAATTTTCATGGATAACCACTGAAAAAACACGTTTATTTTTTACTGTAAGGGAGTTTTAGGGGGGCATCACAAAATACATTGACGTCATATATGTTACTCTAAAATTGGATAGGAATATTCTTTAAAACAGCTTCTAGGATAGGATGTTTGAGACAATCTAGAAAAGTGTTTTGGTGCCCAAAGTGTTGATAACTAAAAATAACTTGATATCTGTATTGTTATTTAACGATATAAAACCCATCTTACAACCCATATCAGCAAGCTGTAAATTAGATAGCAAAGAGCCGAACCATTATCAGACAGTAATATAATCAGACTATTATGGCCAAAGAGGACAACCATATTTGTTCAAACACGTAGAAATTTGATACATTTAGTATCAAAGAGACCTGTGTGTTCATTTTGGAAAACGGAACAGACAAATATAGCATGATGATACAAATTTACAGTGAGTCAGTAAATTTTACTTTAATATTTCACTACAGCAAATCATAAATGAATATATATAGTGATATTTTCATTATTATTTTAATATATTTTTGATATGCTTTACCTAGGTTAGCAGTGATAAACGAAATATAAATTATATTTCCGATATTACACTCAAACACCAATATATTATTTTTGGATCAAACTTATTGTACATCTATCCTTCTAATACGTTCTACATCCAATTTTATTCTTTTCCGTATTCTTTCGTTTTATTATGTTCAATTTTATACTTTGAAATCACCTGAATTCAAAAATATAATGTATATTTTTTTCATAAATCGTTTGATGTCTGTATAAAATTTTTTTGTAATTCGGTAAGCTGTACTAAAAATTCACACGATGAAAGGTTTTGTGATCTTTGTAAATCATAGATTTAAAAATATATTGTAAGTAAGATTGGGCTAAATAAGAATAATGCTTATTTTGTACCTTTTATAAATACAAAGTGGAAGGCTACGGAAGAACGAATTGTGATTTTGAAATAAAAATTGTGTCGTTTGTTCGAGCTGGTATAATTGAATACAGTATATTTATATCGGTTCCTTATGTTGGTGTGACAATATTAAACATATTTTGCTTGATTGTTATTCTAATATATTTATTATTGGCCGGGCGAATCAATTTTAACTCCCTCTACGCATAGTGCAAGATACACAAAAATGTTCATTAATTACTATAAATACACATGTATATGGTTTTGTGTAGCGTATGAGTTTCCACAACACATTGAAGACTTTTTATTGGTTATGATAAGTATCTATGTTTTTTTCTTTAAAATATTTTGTATTGGACTAAAATAAAATGTTTAGTTTAATTTAAGTTTTCCTATATATACAAGATTTTGTTTAGTTTTCGTCTCTAATGTAATACTAGCCACAAGTTTGTTGTTGTTTTTTTCGTGTAGATGCTCTGTGTCAAGAGCTGGAACAAGAAAGGAAGGCGCGTTTCACTGTGCAGCAAAAGCTTAAAGGTAAATAGACACGTGTTAAAAATCAAACTGGTGTATTTACGTGTTTTACACTCACCAAAAAAAGAAACCTATCATTCTATAGGTAATTGAAGAACTTGTAGCAGTCCGCCACAATTTAATTCTTCGTATTGTTAGCTGAATGAATTGGTGGTAGTGTCC